GTACATTTCTTGATTTAATGTATTGCGTGTGAGGGGTCCCGGTTTCATCATCTGTGGAAATATTAACCATTTTGCGCTAAGGTCCAGTAGCTGAAAATAAAACAGTCGACCACTGAAACGGACACAGCAATGTAACTGACGTCTAAAAGAATAAAACTGAAAAATAAATTTCACTGTAATATTATCGCAATGTAACATTGCGCAAGAGATGCATGTATTTCTATAGGTTAAAAAAAACGATGATGACGTGTAAAACACGGTAACACAATAGGTTAGATCGGAACGCTTTGGATGTCAGTTCAAGTCCCGCCCGGGTTAATTAACATGCATTACAGTTTCTACAAGTGAAATTTATAACTCCCAGGGACATTCTTTGGCCCCTTTACTCTTGAACAGATCAACGTCGCTAATCGTACGTTTCAGACCTACCAAAACTATAATTTATTAATTTAGATAATAACAATATAATAATTATTTCCGATATTATGGCTTGAAAAAAAAAACAGGAGCACAATCATTCACTTTGAATCTTTTTTGAATATTGAATATGATGGATATAAATAACCATTTCTGACTTGTCTCTTACCCTCCGGTGAATGACTATGTCAAAAATTGGCATGTGATATGTAGACATATTATAGCATTAGCATATAGCATTGTCGTGTATATGACTGCTGACAAATAATATGCAGAGCCACTGTAAAAAAAACCAGTACTTGTCTGTAGTTTACGCGAGTACTACACAATTAAATAATATGTTTCGACAGTTTAAAACGCGAAATGTTTTAGATAAACCATGACCAGGACTGCAACAAAGCATCCGAAATGTCGGGTCGTAGTTAAAATTATTTGTAAATATTTTCAACTAAAATATTTCCCGTTTAAAACCGTTGAAAGATTGACAAATACAGTACCTAAAGACTATTCAACTTAGCAATAGTGTGCTTCTTAGAAATCACGAATATAAACAGAATTCAACAAAAGTTAAATCATTCAGACAACATTTTGAAGCTGTTTTCAATCTAATTGTGAACTGAATAGTGGTGAAAGTTATATAAACTGAATTGCAAGTACTTGAAAATTAATTGTTTGCAAGCATTTGACGCTTGATTTTAACACTGTTACAACTGATGTTCCAGCTAAGTTTGTGGTGTTATTGTGTAACTTTATTTTGTACTAGCTGTGTCAGCGACTTCATCCGCGACGAGAACAGTTATTTTGGGCAGCTAATTTGTTTATGTAAACCTCCTGTTCAACTCTATAAATTTAAACTGTTACCCACGACATCTTACGCGTCCCGTCATTGCAAGTTAATATTAAAATATATTATCTAGACATCGCGGACATATTTAGATCATTCAAAGGGAAATTATTCTTTCAAACATATCTTTTAGGTATCTTGAACCGTTTTCGCAGCGTGCGCATGGGAAATCCACAAAGATGAATATTTTTTTGCCGTCTATTGTCCCGGTGTTTCTTGGCGCCTATTGGTAACATCACGTTGCTCTATTAAATGAGACACCGTGACACCTATGTATGTCATAAATCATAAAAATTCCAGCAGTTTTTCCGTCATTAGAATAACGCCAAAAGGTGTTAAACGAATAACAAACACCTTTTTGCTGAGATCGAATTAATCTACTAGTCGGTAATTAGTCGAAGTCGATAGAAATTCAATAAAAGTAATTACAGCAGACCCTTGTCAAGATAAGCATTTTAGTGCGAAGATTTAAGCTTTATTACTTTCCTAGATATAAAACGTTGGGACTAAGAATTTCGTTCACATTCTAACTAGTTTACAACTTTCGAAGCCTTTATTACACGTCCATTGTGTAGAGGCAAAAGAAAAAAGAAAGACAAGCATGGGATTTGCTTGTATAGAAGGTTAAATAATGTAAAAAAATACACTTTAACGGTTTAAAACGCGATATGTTAGTTAAAATTATTTTTAACTTCGGCCCGACGTTTCGGATGCTTTGCAGCAGCCGTTTAACTAATATATCGCGTTTTAAACCGTTAAAGTGTTTTATTTAAATGAGTACCTACTACTCGCGTAAACTATAGACAGTATTTAAATAAGATATGGATAGATTTATTACATGCTATTAAACATCGTTACAACGATTAACAGACTCGTTGGTCTAATAGTAGCAAAGTTTGGTAATAGTACATTATGATATAAGTGCGGTAAGTTGAAAATTACAACCGAGGCGATATTACTAGGCCGAGCCATCGGCGAAGGCTATAAGAAAGCAGAGGCTGTAATTTTCAAAGCGCACGTATGTCATACGACGTTTTCTAACATATTTACGGGAAATTAATAAAACTCTAACTTAGTTAAACGAATAAATCTTTAATTAATTGTTAAAGCACTTATAAGCGATGCGCGCGCATCAACGTTTTCTTTTGTTATAGATAAATGGTTGTTATTTATTGTCAAAATTAATTGAATTAAAGAATTAAATGTTTATTTGTTATATTTTATTTCCCAAAGTTAATTTTATTCATAAAATATTGACCACTTTCTTGACATATAACCTCTTTGCTAAGAAAAAAAACACGTGCCTTTTACATTACATTATCGCACAAGTATGTAATGAGATACATTACAATATTGCAATTGGTGTAATTACAACCACTTTACGAGCAAATATGTTACAAACTTTATTTACCTATGTAATTGCGAAATTATCTTATCAAATCAAAAAAATCATGTTTGCATGCATTGAAAATTGTGTCTTGTGCCCATAATTTTGCTTTGCTCGTCGCTATGCACGTGGACAACGAATGCACATTGCGATAAAAGAAATGTATTATTCTAATACACCCTAATTATTTACTATTTACTATTAGTTATAATAAATCAGTTTAATTTGTTCAATGTAATTAGATGAGGTATTTGCTTTGAGATAATCGTCCGCTAATTGAGCATTTGTATTACAATGATAAATGTAATTTATTCATTAAACCATGATTTGAATTAATAATTTTGTGTATGAAATCCTATGTTATTGGTCAATTCAAATCTATTTTAATAAGCATGAGTTTCATTTGACGGTAGGTGAAATATCCTAGCCTATAGCTAAACGAGATGCGCTGTTGGCCTATTTTGGTTTTGGATATTCGGAAATCCAGAGACTGATAGCGAAACGTGGTTAAACTTCACGGCTTTATCTGGACGGTAGTTCGTCACCCAGACGGAATTTGAACATTACTACCACCCAGTTAATGTCCAATTTAAAAGACGAAGTCATATTTCTTAAAAATTATAATTTATTAAGAAAATTTTGGACCCCGTGGGGATCGAAGTCCGTCAGAATTTGATTATTTTTATTTCATTTCAAAAGTAAGCTAAGTTGATCCAGAATAAGTTACTTTCAGTAAGGCGCTGTTGGTGTAAAAGTTAGGTAAGTTTCACATTTTATTTTCAATTGTTTGATGTCCACTGCTGCACGTAGGACTCCCCGAAAGACTACTGTTAATGGTCGCTCACTACTTGCATTCCTGGTTTTCTAGGTGCCAAGACTACTTCGTCTCTTCATAGGAGTCAGGAGACCGTATAAATGTTTAAGAAATAAAATAAATTATTAGGATAATTGTCTCACTAAGACTATGTAATTTTAAATCCTCGATATATTACTTAAGGACCGTTACAAGGATAGGTAAATCACTTTTTTATACTTTTGGCAATCTTTTTTTGCAATTTCACAAATTTTTCGAAACTATGTTTTTAATATTTATAGATTGCTCCGATATACAATAGTGGTCTTAAAGGACATTTGCTAGTATTTAAAACCATTTTGCTAAAGAGTAATGCAAAATAATCATTTCAATCTTTATTTTAAATAAACTATTATACCGGCAACATCGCCTCAAAAGAAAAATAAAGCATAGGTACGTTACGCCAAGCTTTTATGCTAAGTAATTAAGTAATTTAATCTTTTCTGCGCAGTACTTTTGTTGATGACAGCAAAGATACAGACATACCAAAAAATAATTTATATCAGATGTGTATCCTGTATGTAGTGTAATCTGTTACTCTTGTTCTGATAATCAATGTAAATGCATAAGTGTTAAAACAGGTTGTAGAAAATGCAGCAAAAAGATTAAAAGTTTTTAAAGAAAAAGTATAAAAGAGATTAAAAGTTAACTACCATTGTTCTAAACTGCGCTAACATCCTTTGTCATTTCTATTAAAGCGATAGTTAGAAAAGCCGAGTTGTGAAAGAGTTTTCCCTGTATCCAACTTTTAACAATATAAGTTTAAAACTTCCATTGTTGTTTAATTTAGAAAGTTCAATTGTTATATTATATATCGGATTTTGCCCTTCTGTGTTAAAATATTTAAAAAAAAAGTATATTTATATTTAGACATTAAAATACTTTAACGGTTTAAAACGCGATATATTAGTTAAACTATTTGAAAATGATTTTCACTAATATATCGCGTTTTAAACCGTTAAAGTTTTTTATTTAAATGTGTACTACTCGCGTAAACTATAGACAATATTTAGACATTTAAGTTATTGCAAATCCAATGCTACAACAACTTTACAGGTTATATAGTTATCAAAAAAAACAAAAAAGTGTTCGCACTATGAGACACACTGTGGGCCTCTACAGAGATAAGCAGTCCCCCTGGGGGGCATGGTGAGAACACATTTTTGTGTCCCTCCTCCTGATCGATGTTATTTACGCAATTAGTAAGCTTACCTCATACATACTTTCAAGTTTTAGCACATTTTATAATTAATTAATTTGCTGTTATATCCTTTATTATTTTAAATAAACGTTTATGAAAGATAAAAACATTTAAAGTAGCTATATTAACCCCTATGACGCCGAAAGTAAGATAGATAATGTGTACAATTTAAACTGCCACTAAATACTGTGTCGTATATTTTAAAAACATAAAATGTTTCCGTTTTAGGTAAAATAAACATAGTAAATTTACAACAAAATAAATTAATACCGTTAGTTAGTTTAATAGTGAAAATAAATTAAAGCTTCTTTTGTTTTTTCTGTTTCTTCTTACCACTTGACGTTAAACGTTTCTTTAGCTGTCTCCAAACTATTAATATTGTAAATACTATAGCAGCAACAACCAATATTGAAATACCAAGCATTGTCAGTAATAAAGGTACTTCATAATATTCAAAAAATGTTAGTCCTGTAGCCGGCGATCTTAAGTGCTTACCGCCATGTTTCAAGACGTGCTCAATCCACCACACGGCTAACTTCTTTGGTTCGATTGGATATTCCCTCATGATTGACCTAAGTCTAATAATGTTTTCCTTGTATCTGAAAAATGATATTTTAGGCTTTGACGATTTTCAACGATTGACTTATTTTCGTTTGGAATACAATGATCACAGCTTAAAAAAGACTCCAACAAAAAACTATGCTATAAAACTTGAATTGGCATCAAGCTTTAACGTACCTTTTATCGTCGATAACTCGTTCAATAGCATTTCTAAAGCTGTCTTCTGTTATGTGATTAATATCTAACTGCAGACCTATGTCGTGTCGAACGTATTTCTCCACGTTGTACCATTGATCTCCAAGCATTGGAATACCAATCAAAGGTACCGCTGCATCAATCGCTTCATCTGTGGACTGTAGGCCTCCTTGAGTTATGAAGATTTTGACTTTGGGGTGCTCTGTGAACAGATCAATGATATATTTAAGTTGTACTACTAAAAATATAAAAAAAATAATAATTACAACTTCACGACTTTAAAAACCGTAACCGACAGAGTTTGCCTGACAAAGTAACAGATAGAAAACTTACTAAGTAGAGTCGGTTGCGGGAACCATTTGTATATTCTAATATTCTCTGATTTTCCTGGTAGTTCCTCTTGGTCCCACTTCCAGAGAACGTCATAACGTAGCTTCGATAGAACTTTTGTCATCACTTGAATTTTTTCTGGCGGTAAAATCGATGGCTTCACATTCGAACCAAAACTAATATAAATCACGCCATTTTTAGAGGAATCTAAAAATGTTTGAAGTTCCTGTAATTTTAAGAATTTATTTAATACATTACAAGACTGAAAACTGATAGCGATAGTTGGTATTTGAAATATTATATAATAGACACCTACATTATCCGAATTTATTAATCTAAAACTATGATTATACTATGACATTATTAAAAAAAACACACGAAGTTAATCATAATGTAAACAAGGTGTGAATTGTCAACATTTATGGCTGAATATATTTTAATAAAATTAATTAGATTTTCATTTACCTGAGGCATCTCAGGTTCAAGAGGCTGATGAATACCTCCAATATAGACAATGCTAGGTGGCACTGGATGATTATCCGACCAAATAGGGTGCTCATTTAGGAATAACATTTGCACCTTTTTCAGGAATAACTCATCGTAAGTTGGAACATCTGGGCCAAAATTTCTTTTCCACATTTCATATTCGAATTCCCTCGATTGTAGCACTAAATACTCCAAGAAATAGTTTATGAGGAGAGATTGAGCCTTTTCAAACATTGTCAAATTATATAACCTTTGTGCAGCCGCTGAAGGAAATAAAAGTGGATGATAGGGCGCTCCGAATTCTGCATACGACTTAGGCCCACCTCCTAACGAACTGACCTGAATGACGGGTGCGTCAAATACATGAGCCAACACCAACGCCGATTGCACATAAGCCTCTATAAGTAACAAATCAAACTTCTGACCATACAGCTCCTTAAATTCGGGGACTTGAATTTGCTTCTCCAATAACACAATTATTCTAGCGAAAATGTCTTTCACTGTCTTAATTATACCTAATTTATCTCCTTGAACATCTTGCAGCCACCCGGCTACTTCTTGATATGATAAATCATGAACGTCTATCTCTGTAAGATTTGCAGGAGCCTTGTTTTTCGGATACATTGGATCTGTCGTGAGAACGTAGACGTCATGGTTTCGCTTCACTAACTCTTGGATGATTGGGCGAAACGCTTGCTGATGACTTATAGATGGCGTCGGAAACACCGCTAGTATTCTTGCAGCATCTATTCGACTTATGAAAAAGAATATTAGACTTAATTTGAGTAACATTGTTCACGCGTCGCAGTTGTTACGTTACTACTGGACTGACCGTTGTTATTGTTACAGATAATATAGTACTCGTTATCAGACGGACAGAATTATAATCATTGATAATTAAATGTATCTGTTATCTTACAAGTATGTGGAATATAAAGTTTTAAATAAAAAAAAGATATGCCAGTGAAACTGGAACACTAAAGATACCTAAAGGTGAGTTTATATTTAACTTATTTTCTATGGATAAACGTTTTGAGCTTAGACCTACCACACCTATTGTGCTGGTTATAGTGTTCCCATTCGTGCAATGCAGCCTTATGGGAATGGAAATACCTCTATTTTCACATCTTTTTTACTGGGCTAATATAGTATACATATGTAAGTGTAAATACTAATATTCTAAAGCGCGTTCAAACAAACAAAGAACGTTTGTTTGAACGCGTTAATCTCGTGAACTTTGAATTTGAACAGGTCTTTAATATATTTTAAAACATGGCCCAGACAGTAAAATTCTATCTTCTAAGATAAATTCGCTAGAACGACGGGAAGCGTATGACATCGTAGGTAACGGCTAAAATTCACAAAGCGGAGGAAGCAGATTTAATAATTTTATGCCCAAAATAACTATTCTCCGCGGATGAAATTACGGCCACAGCTAGTATTTATATTTGTGAAACAGCAATTACATAACATAACATGCTGCTATACATACGTCTCTTATCAATGAACATCAAATCCGTTGATAACGCTACACATTAGTAATCCTAATCAATGAATAGTATAGATGTTGTGATAAGGTTAACACCTAGTTGGTAACTGAAGTGGCGATCTCTTAACTAGTTTGTCTTGCTTAGTCATAAGATTGGTATAAACCAAACCGTGTTTAATTATCATAACTCTTAGTAGTACTTAGTCCTGAGTTAACGTTATTCTAAATTTTGAAACTATTTGGGAATATTTAAATAAAACACTTTAACAGTTAAAACTCGATATATTAGTTAAACTTATTTGAAAATGACTTTTAACTAATATATCGCGTTTTTAGCCGTGGTCTCCCCGTGACCACGGCTACTGCAAAGCATCCGAAACGTCGGGCCGAAGTTAAAAATCATATTCAAATAATTTTAACTAATATATCGCGTTTTAAACCGTTAAAATATTTTATTTAAATGTGTACAACTCGCGTAAACAATAGACAGTATTTATTTGGTAATATTTTTTTTTGATATTTAGTAAGTAGTTCAAGAATATTTGTTCTTTATTTCAAATGATTTTGTGTGTTATTTCTGTCTGAGTTTCCTTAGTTAAATAATATTATAATGCAAGTGAAACCGCAGGTAGAAATGAAGTAAATACATACAATATAAATACAACGTATTATGCAAAAACGACTATAAAATAAGTAATTTAACTGTTATTTTTTTAGAGAAGGACAGAGGAGCATTAAATACCAGACAATTGACGGAGGGTGATATAGCCTAACCATATGACATATAATTGAGATCAATGTCAACCCATTAAAGCGTTGGATATTAGGAAATCCACAGGCTGAAACGAAAACGCGATTAAACTTCACTGATTTTTCATCTGTGGACATTGGTTCAGGATCCGGACGGAATTACAATTTTTCTACCACTTATTTAATATACAGACCTCCACACCTTCAAAAATAAAAATAAAATTTGGAAACATATTAGAATTCGAACAATATGTTAATTATTAATCATACGTTATTTACCAACAAGCCCGTCAAAGTAAAACATCGATAGGGATATTAAAATGTGTGCTACACGCGGAAACTTCAGACACAATATACACATCTAGTTTCATTCCAGGAAATTGTGTTGTAACAGTGAAAATAGAAATTTCTATTTTGTCTTTGAGTTAAGAAAAGGGTTGTTTAGACATTTAGATTGATTGAATGGTCCAATTTCTTCGTAACAGGTGTGCTTTTTAGAATAAATCGAATTTCGAAATTTTGCGGACTATTTAAAACAAAGTGTCTAAATCATTGGTAAAAATGTCACAATTTAATTGCTAAAAGACTTTCATCTTATAATAATTGGACCCCATTTCTGATTGAAGTCTTGAAGCAGAGATACTTAAGGTCTTCCGGCAGCGTACTTTATAAGGAGACCGGTAACTATTTAGCTTTATGTGTTAGCTACCGAAGCTTCACACTGGGAACTATTAAATAAGTAAAAGTGATTTACTTCTTGGCTAAGAAGGGTATTTGTATAAAATTAATTTTCTAAATTTATTGTATTTGTTGGAAGTCAAATCAAAGCCAATTAGAGTTGTATTCTAGGAGCGGAAGACTTACGTTAGGGATTGTTATAGGGCTACCCAAAAAAATACTACTTGATTTATTTAGAATTTTAGTCACCACTTCTTCGATAACTCGCACTAAAATTAAGTTAGTTAATACATTTATTACCTACTAGCCATCCAATACTATCAAACATGTATCAAGGACTGTCGTTTACGCGACTAGTACACACTTAAATAAAATATTTTAACGGTTTAAAAATATGCTAGTTAAACTTATTTGAAAATCATTTTAGCTACGGCCCAACGTTTCAGATGCTTTGCCGCAGCCGTGGTCACGGGGAGACTGATGGAGGGTGTCTCTAATGTCAAAGTAAATCTACTACGTTAGCGCCATCGGTTCCGTCGTAGTTGGTGTTGCGCCACGACTGTCTCAAAGTATCCAAAATGTCGGGGGTAGTTAACATAAATAAGTAAAAGTTAACTTCTTATAACTTTACTTCGTGCCAACCTCAAAAGTATGGACGGAAATAACTCGGACTAGTTTTAGAAGTTTTATTAGAAACAATACTTTTATTGTCGTATACATTTTTGCTAAAACTCAAAAGGGTTCAAAACGGAAGCTCTAATAATATTGATTTTAAAAAATACAGTTAAGCTATAATATATTGCGTTTTAAAGCGTTAAATGACTTCTTAAAAATTACATCTTAACTTTTGAAGAAAAAACTATGTTAGCAATATGCGCCATTGTATGTCTTTTGTATAGGATACGTACAACTAACAGCCAATTAATTATTTTATTTGTTTGAGCGTGTCAGCCCTGCGCACGTACGAGCCTTTTGACATTTTACTTCAATCCCCTCGGAGCCTTACATCTACAGAATCACATTGTTAAACTTTCATTCAATTTTTACTTTTAATTATATCTCGTTTATAGCATATAGTAGCTATAATTTAAAACAAATAAAATTATGAGAGAGTAAAGTAAAGACATGTATAATTATGAACTGTAGTTGTTATTTATTTTCTCTAAGAACAAAAATGTATTTCTATCTGTCTACAGCTTATATTACTAAAAGAAGAAAGAAAGAAAAAGATTGAGGCTCCAATATTATTGAACAGTTTTTTATACTGTTTCAATATTGAAAATAACATTCTTTTTTGTTTTGTATTTTCTTCAAACCTAATCTCTAAATCAAACTTTCAACCATATACATTGTATTTTGTTATTTGAATATAAATACTATTTGTACGCGAGTATTACATTTAATTCAATCACTTTGGCGGTTTAAAACGCGATATATTTTAGTTAAACTTGTTTGAAAATTATTTTTAACAGTTGGGTCTTCCCTTGACGACGACTGCTGCAAAGCATCCGAAACAATTAAAGTTAAAAATAATTTTCAAACAAGTTTAACTAAAATGTATCGCATTTTAAACCGTTAAAGTGTTTTATTTAAATAAATAATACATGCCAAATTACCGTACTTTATCGTTGCGATACATTTTTGTAGAGTTTTGTTATTCCATCATAAAAATTAATCAATCAAGCTCTTGTTTATTTATAAACTTAATCTACATAAAAATAGCTTATATCTTAAATTTTTTAAGATTGGATGACGTCATGTTTCGCAGAAAAAGTATATGGCCGAGTAGGCACATACAGTTATACATAAAATAAAAGCTGACGTAATTATTTTGACGAAACTCAATTAATGTTATTTAATAATAATTGAATACAAGTACTTAAATACTAACATTATAATTGGCAGTACATACATAGTTGATGTGATATTAATGCACATTTACAATAAAATATATTTACGTACAATAACCTGTATAACGAATCTTAAATTAATGTGCATAACTTCTGTTAATTATTTACAATATTTAATTACTAGCTGTATCAGTGACTTCGTCCGCGTAGAAAACGTCAAAAACTGTTATTGCGAACATTTTTCTCATTCTTGAACTTGATCTTAAAAGATTGATCTAAGTGTAGTGGACATGTTTTTAGATCGTTGAAAAAATGAATCTTTCTTTGATAAATATATTTTGGTTGTCTTGAACTGTTTTCGCACCGCATCGGAAACCCACAAAGATGAATATTTCACCCCGTGTTTTCCAAATTTCCCACTGTTACTTCGCAATGTTTTTAATCTTCCTCGATAAATGCTCTAATCAACACAAATATTTTTTGAATTTGTATGAGTAGGTTTCTGATATTTTCGTGTCTAAAGAAACAAACTTAGAAGGTTTACTTCCATTTGTACCTATTAGTATTTTTGACAAATTTTAACAAACTGAAAAAAAAACTTGCTGTGATTCATCATCTTTATTAATACTTAGGACGAGAATTCATAGGAGTTGCTACTCCTATGAATTCTCGTCCTAAGTATTAATGAAACATGTATAAATTTTACACTGAGTGTACATCCACAGTGCAAGCATAGAGCGGTTTATGTGGCGGACAGCACCATTCATAAAACGCGTCTTGTGTTCATAATAAAAAGTCTAAAGCGAAATGTGTCACGATGTGCCTTGGGTAGTAACATTTATCTCTAATGGAGTTCTCACTATATCATTGTATGGAACAAATCAATGGATTGATACCCACTGGTTCCAACATGTATCAAATCAATTTATAAATATTACGGAGTACGGAAAATCTGGATAGCAAATGGGTGGTAGGAAAATCGGAATGTCACCTGGGTCACAAGCCATCCGTGAAGTTTAATCGCG